TTAAATATAATTTTGGTAATTTGCTCCCTTTTCAAGATATTCAACTTTGTTTCATATGCAAATATCACAGGTGTGACATCACATAATGCGTTTTCAGAAAAGTATAGTTTTCTTGACGAATACATATCTAAAAATTAAAAAATTGCCCTTGTATATGTATTAATTTCATAACTGGAAATTAACCCTCTCTATTTGTTTATAAAAAATTTTATCAAAATAAAATATTGTGTTTTCAAAATGTCATTGTGATGTCACACGAGGGATATTTACATAAAAAACAAAGTTGAATATCTTGCAAAGGAAGCAAGTTACCAAAATTCTATAAAATAAATTAAGTAATTTTAAGTGATCTTTCCATTCAATCAATCACAAACATTTGCGGGATATTTCGTGTCATAGGCACTTTAAATTCTCACCAAGATAGCAGACTTTCATGTTATTGCCATTATCTCAAGTCAAACTTGTGACATCACAACTCAAAATATAGAAAGTGTGATAACTTGAGAATGAGATATGAAAAACTGTAAACGTCATTCTTCGTTATTCCAGCAGTACTTTTTAGCAAAACAAAAAAAAAGTGATGTAAAACTTTCATTTCATAAGCACTTTAAGAGGCCGTCTCCATAAGAACCGACCACTGATTTTTTTTCTCGAAAATCAACCTTGCCTCTAACTTTTCTTATTTATTAGACTTAACACGCATACTACAAAATCACATTCAGAATTTTTCATCTCACGTTATTTCCCGAGATTTTTAAACTTTTGTTCCTTAGGGCTATAATTGCGATCTCAACGCTTTGGCTAACGTAAAAATACCACATCTGTATCCCTCAAATGCACAGACGCACGGCCCGCTTTCCAATTTTTATGTTCATAATGTGAAAGTTAAGGTCTTTGCTCGAATATATCAATCATCTACACATTTCAAACCCTTTTAAAACGTCTTTTTACACGAGCGTGCTTCAAGGTACTTTTTCAACATGGGCTAGGTCCTCAAAATTACATGTTTTTACGATCGGATTTTGCAAAAGTGGCACTACCCACAAACTTGTACTTAAATATTTTTTAAAATACTAATTGTAAATTATAATTCCATCAAAACAAAAATTGGGGGATTTTTTTCCAAACTATTTTAATCGACGCATGAAATTTACAATTCTTTGGTGCTCACTGGAAATGACGCTGACAACCCATTCATTAAAAGTTCGTGGATAGTTTACAAATTCAACACATGCTAAAAGTTTTGAACATAAAAACACTGCTTGAGTTGCATAAATCTTATGTAGACCACCTGTATGTTTCAAGCAGCCGAAAACATTGTTTCAACAGTCGCACCACGCAGGTAATAACGTAATGTAAACAAATGTGTCTATATAATTATTTGCATGTCGCGAAAGCCCGCTGCGAGTGAAACATCGTGCATTATAACGCAAAAAAATGCTAAATAAGATCTCGCTAAAACATAAGTGACTCATATTGTAGTTATATACCACAAAGTTTATCAAATTAAGATAAAAAATCAATCAAAAATACAAAATATTCGGCCGTCTATATTTAGGATACTCTGAGTACGAGATTGTAAACAAACAGTGACCCATTGCGTTATATACTAAATTTTTATCTAGACAAGAGGAGGAGGATATCTTTTACCGGCACAGCTAGAAGGAGCATAATAAAGTTAGTATAATTGCAAAGTTTGGTTGCGAAATGTTGTAAAATATCGAAAATAAAGGCTCGCGAAGTTTGAAAAATTTGTCACAAAGGCTATAGTTTTGTATTTATACGCGGCCAAATTGATACCGTTTTGAGAACCGGGTATCGATTTTCGCCGCGTAATAAATATACAAAATTTGTAGTTATACTAATTTTATGATGTTCTTTCCAGCTGTCTATCTCCAATTTCGCAATGGATCCATCTATATCTAAATAAGGGAAGCCTCACATATCGATTTTTTCCACAAGAAACGTCATATGTTCGTTTGGGGGTGGGGGTGGGGGGTTGGCAGCTGTGACGTTTCTCTGTAAACGTAACATCATGGAAAAAATCGATAGTTTTTGTCTTTGCAGAATATAAAAAAGAAAACAATTTGATACAAACAGCAGTCTATATATTCGTAATACCATACCTGTTCTATACCTATAGCTACATTTATATTATTACGCCTTCCTTGCATTGAAAACACTCAAATTTCAAGAAATACGTGCTAAAATTATCAATATTTTATGCAAAAAAAGTTGTTTTGAGAAACGTTGGAAATTTTGAAGTTCACATATATATTAATAAAAAAAGAGTATGTCAGCAGATGACATATTCCTCGCGGAAGCATCGCCAATAGCCGACCGAAAAAATAGTAGAAAATTACCTTATGTGTACTATAAGAACAAAATATCGATAACTATGTGTGACGTTCCTAAGGGGGGTGGGGGGGGGGGTGTCTCCAGAGAAACGAACATATGACGTTTCTCATGGACAAAATCGATATGTGAGGCTTCCCTAATATTTGAATAAAATATCTTATTTCAATAAACTACACTACAGCTATATTTATAGAAAAATTGGGTCCAACTGCCTCTACAGTCTTTTTTTAAAGACCCAATTTTTCTATAAATATAGCTGTAGTGTAGTTTATTGAAATAAGATATTTTCAAATATGATTTAGATATAGATGGATCCATTGCGAAATTGGATATAGACAGCTGGAAAGAACATCATAAAATTAGTATAACTGCAAATCTTGTATATTTATTACGCGGCGAAAATCGATACCCTGTTCTCAAAACGGTATCAATTTGACCACACATAAGTACAAAACTATAGCCTTTATGACAAATTTTTCAAATTTCGCGAGCCTCTATTTTCGATATTTTACAACATTTCGCGACCAAACTTTGCAATTATACTAATTTTATTATGCTCTTTCTAGCTGTGTCGGTAAAAGATTTCCTTCCTCTTGTCTAGATAAAAATTTAGTATATTACGCAATGGGTCACTGTTTGTTTACAATCTCGTACTCAGAGTATCGTAAATATAGACGCACGAATATTTTGTATTTTTTATTGATTTTTTATCTTAATTTGATAAACTTTGTGGTATATAACTACAATATGATTCACTTATGTTTTAGCAAGATCTTATTTAGCATTTTTTGGCGTTATAATGCACGATGTTTCACTCGCAGCGGGGTTTCTCGACATGCGAATAATTATATAGACACATTTGTTTACATTACGTTATTACCTGCGTGGTGCGACTGTTGAAACAACGTTTTCGGCTGCTTGAAACATACAGGTGGTCTACATAAGATTTATGCAACTCAAGCAGTGTTTTTATGTTCAAAACTTTTAGCATGTGTTGAATTTGTAAACTATCCGCGAATTTTTAATGAATGGGTTGTCAGCGTCATTTCCAGTGAGCACCAAAGAATTGTAAATTTCACGCGTCGATTAAAATAGTTTGGAAAAAAATCCCCCAATTTTTGTTTTGATGGAATTATAATTTACAATTAGTATTTTAAAAAATATTTAAGTAGAAGTTTGTGGGTAGTGCCACTTTTGCAAAATCCGATCGTAAAAACATGTAATTTTGAGGACCTAACCCATGTTGAAAAAGTACCTTGAAGCACGCTCGTGTAAAAAGACGTTTTCATGACAAGAATTCCCCCGTGTGAATGTGTAATTCAGCACCTGTTGCATTCTGGGATGTTTACCCCGCAGGCGCAGGGTAACTGTCCCATAAGTCATCCGGAGCTGTGACTTATTAGTATTGTGTGAAAAATATTTGAAAAATTTTATATTTATGAAAATATGATGAAAATAAGCTAAAATACGGAAATGATTTGAACAAAAGTAGGGAATATAAACGAAAATATGTTGGGAATGCTGCGTGGATAGTTGACAATAAACAAAGGAAAGATGACAATGAACAAACATGGCATATACATAACGGGTTCGAGCCCAGCGTCTGCAAGGCTTGTGTTTCTTTTAAATTTCCTCGTATGCTTGTTTTTTAATTTGAACCAGTCTGAAATAAAAAGGGCAGGTAAAACAAGTTCGTGGAAATGGCCTGTAGACTTGGATTATTACGAAAGCTCTGATGGGAGAATCTTCTTCTCAAACGAACAAGCGATTCCCATGCTTGGACTAAACCAAGAAATATCTCGCCGAGGATATACTCGAGTTGACAAATTTTTGGCAGGGCAAGGTAAGGATGTCAGTTTTAGCTCACAATTCTATAGACTGAGATATATTGAATTATTTTCAATAAATAATAATATGAAATACCACCAAACAAATGCCTTTTAATAAACTGTTTTAATGAAATAGGATACAATGCAATTTTATCATTTGAATATGTTTTATTACAAGAATTATTTTCAATAAATAATATGAAATATTTCATACCACTAAACAAATGCCTTTTAATAAACTGTTTTAATGAAATAGGATACAATGCAATTTTATCATTTGAATATGTTTACAAGAATTATTTTCAATAAATAATATGAAATATTTCATACTACCAAACAAATGCCTTTTTAAACTGTGTTCATGAAATTGCATACAATGCATTTTTATCATTTGAATATGTTTATATATGTAAGGGCCTGTTTATATATATGGCTGCCGGGCTGGCCCGCTTAGCAAGACAGCCCGGTAAGCGGGATGAATTTCTCTTGTGTTTATATGATAAAATTTCATCCAGCTTGCCGGGACAATTTTGTTACATTGTATTGTTTCGACAGCTGTTAAAAATAGCTTGCGGCGGTATCTTTGAACTTTCATCCCGGCAACCGGGCTAGCCCACTTGCGAGTGTTTATATGGAGAAATTTCCATCCCGGTAAGCGAGATCTCACCTCTTTCAAGTGAGATCTCGGCAACCGGGCCAGCCCGCTTGTCCATATATAAACGCACAATAATTTTTACTTTAAAAATAACTACACAGCGAGTCTCGCTTACCGGGCTGTCTTGCTTAGCGGGCCAGCCCGGCTTCCATATAAACAGGTCCTAAGAATTAAAGCATATTATGCATGTACAGTATATGATGTTCATAGGTATACAAGGTGGGCTTTGCCAAATCGAGCATATAGTCGGGCAATTTTTAGCACCAGTTGGCAATTTTTAGTTGACCGTGGGGAAAAAAGTTGTGGCGATGGGGAAAGCGGTCCCCCCCCTAAAATTTAGTTACCCATACGCCTATGATGATGTTAACCATAATAAATTTGTGTTGCACCCTGTTTTAATATTATATTTTATTCTGTCTGACTCCAGACAATTTACTTGTGAAGGGGAGAGTGCTGGCTGCTGACATGCAATTTGTTATTAACCCATTAGGTGGGAACACGCACAGATGCGCCATAGTTTAGTATTTACTCTGTCTAATGCCAGATGATTTTACTTGTCAGTAGTAAAATCATCTTGAATTAGATAGTATTTGGCTGCATTACATAATATTTAGTGTCAGTAGTAAAATCATCTGGCATTCTGATAATATTTAGGCTTTTCAGTGAAGTTTGTTTTTAAGTTTTTTGGGGACAAATACATATTTTTAAAGCCAACAATTGCCCTATGTGAAAAAAATCATGTTCCTGCTTAGCCGGGTTGTAAAGAGGTTCTGCAAGGCTTGAGGCAAAACTTTCCCCAGGGGGGATTTATGACATAATTATGGTTATAGAAGTGGACTTTGCACTTTCTTACAGTTGGCGCATGCTTAGGACACACCTTTCTTACAGTTGTTAGATTTTGTTTTGCAATGTGTTCCCTATGTTATTTTTGATATTCTTTCAAGGGAATTGCTACATTTAGGAGAGAGGGTACTACTTGCAAAGGATCACCACATGGGGGAAGGGATACTTGCAGAGGGTGTCCCTCTGCAAGCAACTGCAGTATGTTAACATACATGTACTACATTTCAATTCCTGTCCATGCACTTATTTAAAGCTATTAAAATGCCATATCATAAAACCAAAATAAGTCGGTGTTTGTGTGGATGCCTTGTGTTGACTGTTTAATTAAAGAAACATAGTCACTGTTTGAGCGATGTTATTTTAGTGTGATATCAGATCCAATTACAAATCACAAGAGTTAATAACTAAACATCGCTCGAACAGCGACTGCATGCCTTTAATAAATGTGTGAAACAAACTTACCAGAAACATGTTTTATAAGTAGTATGAGCAAGACATTAGTTTCAACCTCTCACAGCATCTCTGATACTAAATAGAGCAAGGAGTAGAACGTCTCCTGAGATTGCCTATTTTCTACTTCCAGTAACAGGTGCAGTGGTTTTTGATTGGATCTGGGTTAGGTTTAGGAGCCAATCAGAGAGCACATTACGTCAGTCGGTGAATATTGTGTGGCAGTTGGCACATATATATTTTGTTATTAATATTACATTTTATTCACTATTTGCTTTCTGACTGGCCAATAGTTTTTAGCTAATGCAACTTCAACATACTGTAATAATGTTAATATGTAGATTGAGAAAAAAGCTGTACCAAATTTTATACTGTAGCAAGGTTGCATTTTCTTGAATTTTTGTGCCAAACTTAAATGCAGACCTTAAATGCTTTTTGAGTTATTTTGACATGGACGTTTGACATAAAATCCGGGGGTGGGTCCAGCAAGGTTTTTCTATGGGAGTGCGGGGTGAGCAGCAGTATTTTTTAGGGGTGGTTGAGCATTCAAATGAATTGGCTTCCTAACGACTTGAGTGCCGAAGGCGCAGCCTCCAGGTCCAGCACCCCCCCCCCCCCCGGTGGAAAATGTTGAAAATTAGAACGCTAGAAATGCCATTTCCTGCGATATGGGCATTGAATTATGAGCTTCAGTTTGATTTCAAAAAAAGAAAAACCTTGGAAATTGTGCCATATTTCTGAATTTGATTTTTTTGCACCCCTCCCCCCTCCTTGCACCCCTGTTGACCAAGGCCAACAGGGGTACACACCCCTGTGCACCCCCTGTAAATCCACTCCTGATAAAATTACAGCGCTTTCAAGTTTACAGACCAAATCGTATTGATAACACATACCTCAACATTGATGATTATAAATCTGGATATCACACAAACTTCATACAGATAGTATTTTGTTGTCTTGTTTTAGGAATTTCACATTCATTTGTGTGTGATGGAGTGAAAAGAAGAATGATTGGTTATGAAACTTTTATGTGCTTGGTGATGGGATTTTGTGGACATAAAGTTAAAGTAGATGAGAGTACTGAAGAAGTCGTCCTTAAACTTCGTCAATGTTCCTTGAGCAGGATGCATCTAGTTAAGCAAAAGAAACTGTTACAAAAAACTGATTCTCCCCCGAGGCACTACACTTCCAGAATTGTACAAACTACACCAAAGAAGGTTTCAACTAACGCAACCCAAACATCGCAATGCCAGGGACAGGGATCATCCCAAACTGAGAAAGGAACAAGCCAGTCTACATCTGTTTTGATAGATAAGGAAAACATGAGACAACTTGAACAGAAAAACGATGGCAATGGTGGAAGAATATTCAAATCAAGACCCATTGCAAAACGTTGTAAATCACAAGAAGCAGTGCATAAAGAAATAGCCGAGTCTATTCATCATGGTTCCAAGGAAGATTTTCTTTTAGGATTTGCCAGAACCGCATCCCATAAAGCAGAAAATGTGTCTACTGATTGGGATGGGAAATTATCTGCTCACGACGTAATTGAAATTGCCAAAAATGCTTACTGCCCAACCACCAAAAAAACGGCATATGACATAATGACATGTGATCACTCAGTCCAACGATTTCATTTGGATAAAACTTACCTTCTAAATGTGCAGGATAATATGAATTCCACTGAGTTTGCATGTGATCTTAGACGAAAGATTCCCGGTCTGCTGGACAGTGCTTATTCTGTTGATCAGCTAAAGAAGACACTGAAAAAGGAATTCAGTGTGGTCTTACAACCCCAGCGAACAGCGACAGGTTGGAGAATTGAACCTGACCGTCTGCATCAATGTCTGAAATATGTTTATCGTTGGATCCCTGAACAAGAATATTGGCGTGTCTATGGCAACGCGAGGACTTATGGAAAGCAGAAAAGTGTCCTTTTGGCAATCGGTAATTTAAACGATGAACAGTTGCTAAACAATGTTCAAATTCAAAGTCCAAAGGAGCTATGGCCCCTATCTATCTTCTATTTCCAAGATTCAAGATTAAATCTAGAACTAAATCTAGCAGGTGAAGAGTCGGTTGGGTACAGTTCAGGCTGGCTAAATCAATGGATTGGACAGATGAAGGATAAAAGTCACAAGATGTATCTGACTGGTGACTCTATGTTCTTAGATGCAATAGCCGACCCTAAACTTGATCCAAAAAGTGAAAGTGGTATAAGTATTTATAATTACGAAACTACTGCTACCAAGGGAGATGTTTGTGAAAATACTGGCTTAAGGTAAGTACGTGTTACAAATAGCAATTAGAGTGCTGCGAATAGACAATTTGCATGTTAAACTAATTTTGTTATAGACTAATGTTTTTATTATTTAGTAGAGAGTGAGATACTAAAAATACACCAGCGAGATATTTTCCATATCTTAACTAGAGAAGATATCGATCACATGACTTTTTCCAATTTGCTTTTGAGCGTGAAATTTCACAATTGTTTTGCTTGAGACTATATAATAAACAGAACATTACACGGTGGATTGAAGATATAACTTTTATCTTCTCGTGTTAAAAACAATATTTTACTCACTCGCTGGTGAAAACACCACTCGAAGATAAAAGTCATATCTTCGCGCCGCCGTGTAATATCCTCTATGTATTACTGTATGTGCGGAAATTCTTACCATTTTTGAGCTGAAAATGGTAACAATTTCCGCACGTGATACAAACATGAACAAAATTGCAAACTTTGCAAGGCTATATTTTCCAAGCTTTACAACATTTCGCAACCACATTTTGCAAATCTACTAATTTAATTATGTTCTTTTTAGCTGTGGTGTTTGATTCCCTTTTAGTCTAACATGCAAATTGTCCATTACAGAAGCCAAACATGGCAGACGACATGCAAGTCCAATAGCTTTTAAAGTCGTAAACAAACAGTTTTCATGCCATTTCTCCAGCTAAAGGCCCTGTCACACTATTGCGTATCGTACTAGCGTATGCCAGCATATGAAAAATATCACTCATATTTTACATGAAATCTAAAATATAAAATATGGTACCTAAAAAGCTGGCGGCTGTTTTGCATGTTTTGTAGATCGCTAATTTTTTAAACATACTTACAATAGCGATCTACAAAACATGTAAAACAGCCAGCTTTATAGGTACCATGTCTTAGATTTCGTGACGCCATTAGTGAAACTAGTTTAAACCAGCATTAATTAATTTCTTGGTTGTTGAGTGATACGCAAGCCTATAAAAGAGTAAAAAGCTTCTCGACGTTTCGAGCAAAGCCCTTCATCATGGAAAATTAGTAAGAAGATACACTGTACACACAAACAAGCTGTTTTATAGTAAAACTACAAAGTCAGTCATGTGAAAGAAATTAAGCCAATCAAATTAACGTAATGATAACAAATTAGCTGAAAGAATTTCAAAGTATAAATAAAGCTATATAGCTGTATTATTATTTTAGGTCTGGATTAAAGCGTTCAATCACAAGGCAACTGCCAGAGTCTATCTTACCTAACCCTTTCCACATCAGAATATGTTTTATGTTGTGACCACATGTTCACGAGAATGACAGAAACATTAACATTGCGTGTGAAATCAATATTTAATTTAGAGGCTGAATCTGTTATTTCCAAGAAGGACAGGGACTGTTTTCTCAAGCATTTGGAAAATAATATTAACGTACGGGGAGTGAGAAGTGGGCACTTCAAGTTTTACTTTGAAGCAGGGAAGAACAAACTGGCTCAAGTATCGTTAAACAAAACGTGCGCTCAATTGATTTCAGCTCCCCCTAGCTATTTTCAAAATGCTGCATACCCACTTGTCATTGACAATGTTGCTCCAAAGATTATGTGTCCAGGTGAGCTGGGCAGTGCTCTCCAGAAAGCAATTGAGTGGACCGGTAAACGCATAACTGAGTATGATTGTGAGCTGCTCATATGGGCTAATCATTTTAGAATGCACGAAATATGTCAACTTGATCCTGCTCCACAGCTAAAGCTAAATAAACCAACTGGTTCGGTTGATGTGAATGACTATGCTTTTGGCGTAAATGAGGAACTTATTAATGAATACACAAGATGTGCGGACATCTTTCATGGACTCATGACATTTCGTTATGGTAAAGATAAACTTTCACCCTACATGATCAAAGCAATTGATATAGTCCCTGTCTTACTTAGGTCCCTCCCATTCCACTCGTTAATGCGTGTGTCCACAGAAGGGGGAGAACATCTCCATTACCAGCATCAGCAGCACTTTTTTCATCACACTTCCAGAGGCGGTGGGCATACATTTCATGACCCAATACTGGCAATATTTGAACATATGTACAGACAGATTAAAAGAAATGTTGGCGAAAAATCTGAAGCAGTCCAAGGACGATTTAATCAGTTTGTAAGCAATTGTATACAGTCTGATGAGATGGAACCTAGAGCACCTACTGTTACCGATCCAGACACATCAACAATCGTGAATGATAATGCGTTTGAAACAAAGACAACTACATTAAGCACTTCATCAGATTCTGACAAAACTGGTTGCCTGGCTGGATGTCGTTTTGTGATTGCTGGTTCTTTCCAGTCTTACAGGTTGAATCAGGAAAAGTTGACAGAACTAATCAAAAAGAATGGTGGACATGTTTTGAAAGCAGAAAGTATTCCGGATGGACTGCCAGTCAAAATAATTTTAATCACTACGCAGAAAGAATGTGATAAGAAGGAGAAAATCAACTCATCACTTGCTGTTGGAATCCAAAGAAAGTGGAAAATAGTTTCCCCTACGTTTATTATAGATGCAATTAAGCAGCATTCTCTCCCTTCGACTCAACTTTATGAGCTTAAACTTGACCAAATAAAGGATGCCCCACAAACATCATCCGTTCATATTGTCGCTCGGAATGTCGATGAGACACATTTTAAGCGAACTGGGGCTTTTTCAGACCTGAAAAAAACCCTAAAAGCTAATGCGAAAGGAGAAAAGAGGGACTCAGCTAACGCAAACGTCGGTGATGTTAAAAAAAGTCACAAGAAAAAGAGACAAGATCCTCTCAAAAAACCACCGAACAGTTATATGATGTTCGTAAAAGAACATTTTGAAACAGTTCGACAGCAGATGAAGGAAATCAATGCAGATGTTACCTTTGATCAGGTGAACAATGAATTAATAAACCAGTGGCACAGCAAATCATCTGAAATCAAGAATTCATACAAAGTAAAAGGCTATGAGAACTTGTAAGTTTTAATAACATTTTAATGAAGAAAGTTTAAGATAATTTTAACGATTTAAACAACAAATATTTAACTCTTTATAACTATTTAATATTTAAACAACAAATATTTAACTCTTTATAACTATTTAAACAACAACTATTTAACTGTTGTGCCTGTGACCCCAAAGCCAAGCACGTCATTAAGAATATTATTTCAGTTGTGACTAGCCTGCAAACAGGCTCTCAAGGCGAATTGAGAGCCTGCACTGATGATATACAATTTTGAATATCTGCCCCGTAACGTTCGTTTTTCCAAATATGGAATGCCCATGCTTATATGGTGTTTTTACAACTTTCGTGCAAACTAAATTTAGACCGTACAGTTTATACTGTTTTTCGAAATATAAGATATTCAAGCAAAAGTTTAAATGTTTTAAATACTGTTTTCTCAAAACAGAACATTTCGTGCTTTGAGATAAGATGACCAAGACCAATTTGATCAGTTAAAGGACATTAGCAACCAAAATTTTTATTGCTTCATCTGAAAGAAAATGAAAAAATAAGCTGGTTGGCCGTTTAATGCTCTATTCTATCTCATCTAGTTCCAAAGTTATACGCAAAAATATGCAAAATATAAATTGCTGATTCAGCACAACGTGTGACGTCATTAGTTGGGTAAGCATGTTTATTGAATAGTAAACTGAAGCATAGCTCGGTTATTATGGGCCCAAATCAACTAAAATTTTGCATACTGATTGTACATGATGAGACGCATTGAAAAACGCTTCTAATTTTGTTGCCAAGGTAACAATGTTGTTCCCAGGCCCCTTGTGCCAATTTTATAAAACAGCTTTATTCATGGTACTGATAAGGTTAAAATAATATCAGAAGTATGTGTACCATACCTATGCATGCCAAAAGTTTACTTGCATAATAATAATTCGAAAATGACATACACATAGATAAATGCAACTATTTATTCAAAATCAGTGTAAGGGGCCTAGGAACGACTGTGTTGCCTTAACAATGCCCCGCGTCTCATCATGTACTAACTGTATGCAAAATTTCATTTGATTTGAGCCAATAATAACTTAGCTATGCTTTAGTTTACTATTCAATAAACACACTTACCCAACTAATGATGTCACACATTGTGCTGAATCGGCAATTTATATTTTGCATATTTTTGCGTATAACTTCGGAAATAGATGAGATAGAATAGAGCATTAAACGGCCAACCGGCTTATTTTTTCATGCTCTTTCAGATGAAGCAACAAAAATTTTGGTTGCCAATGTCCTTTAATGTGTTTTTTATGCATAGTGCTTCAGCAGTTGACATATATAGAGCTCAGCAGAAACATATAAATTATAGCATCTGACCAATGAGAATTTCACGTCACGATTTGAGACGCAGATATTCAAATTCATTAGTCATCGATGCAGGCTCTCAATTCACCTTGCTAAGTTGTGACAGACGTTTTGACCTGGCGTGAAAAATAACCACTGCTGCACAAAGCGTTATAATGTTCATATAGGGCCTGAGCAGTGAATTTAAAGCCACAGGTCCATTGTGGAGAAGACAAAGCAGATGTCTACACAGTCTGGTAACTTTGTATTACTTTTACAGTAATGCTTATGAACCTAAAGTTTTAATAATTAGAGTGTGGTATCACAGGCACCTTGTTCATAAAAGTTCAGTTGTTGTGAAAATGTAATTAACTAAAAGTTTATAATAAACGGTATAATCATGTAGAACCTGGTTTGATATTTTGGCAGGTTTGCTAACCTACAGTTAACTCCTGTCCGTTGGCTATTTCCTGTTTTTTTTCCAGGATTACACCTTTACAGGTTTGTCGGTACTCATTGCAGAATAGGAACTTAGATTCGCTGAATCTTACATTTACATGCAAAGCAAAATCAGTATTCCTTGAAACTTCAACTACTGTTACGAACTTAAAAAAACTATTTGCATCCTTGCCAAGTTTGACATCCCATCTCCCACCCATTACTGAATCTAAAATGGGAAAGTCTCCATCTTCAAGTATAGAAAACTTTCTAGAAGTGCTTAAACCAAATCCAAAAATTTGGCCATCACAGAATGCATCAAAAGGACCTAAAGAAAACCTTGTGGAATTTAAGTTAGAAAAACCAGACTGGATGTTATTTCTTAAAACCTTTCCAAGTATAACTCTTCGATAACATATTCTTAATGCAGGACAGTCATTACATGCCAAATATGAAAAATATTTTAGAGAAGCAATGTTATATGCCTTGTCAGACACAGTTTTGGACTTAAGCTTCTCTCCATCCCATGAAGATATATATTTAACATCACATTGTATCTCAAAATTAAAAGGACAAAGCTTTGCTAGAAGTTCATTGTGTTTCTGTGATAAATCAACAATCATGAGAGGACCAACAAAATTTTCTACTTTTACTATATTTCCTACTTGAAGCTTAAGGCCATCATTTGTCCGTAACACAAACAGGTGAGGTACTTCGACCATATCACATTCAACAAATGATGATGTAGCTGTCGGTTCCTCTTCTAACAAAGGTGTTTGCTTGATTGATCTTGGTTTATCCAGACGATGTCGCCTTTCTTGATGGTTAGATTTCTTTGGTTCAGGGGGTGGAGGATCACACAAAGAAAGTGCAGAAATGATCTGCTTCTCTCCATCAGGTAACTAAAACAATATCAAGTTGTATATATTAATCTTGATGTCTTGTACTAACTGATTCAGTATAAAATGAATATTGTAACATGTATAACATTATTTATTAGGCAAAGGTTTCAATCTGTACGCCCCGCCGCCCCAATTTTTATCATCTGAGTGCAATAATAAGAACACTGAAGATCCAGATAATCTATTATCTCCCTGACAAGTACAAATTTAAATCTTCTGGTATTAGAGTAAAAAAACAAGGTTGCATGTCTTACTTTAGGATTTTTATCTGTACATTACATGACTATTTTAATAAGTTCCTTGTATGTTTGCATGGTTATATTAATAAAGTTTTATTTTTTGTAGAAAACACCACAAAACTTTATTTGGCAAAGCTTTTGATCATTAAGCCTGATATTTTTCGTGTGTTTTGATGTTATGTACTCAGGTGAATATGTTTTTGATGTTACTCGGAGTGTATATCCACACCGGGCAGGCTGAAAAGTTACTCTGAGTGTATATCCACACCAGGCAGGCTGAAAAGTTACTCTGAGTGTATATCCACACTGGGCAGTATAAAGTGAATAATGATCACAATTATAAAGTGAATAATAATCAGTATAAAAAAATGAATAATAAAAAAAAGGAAATAATAATAATGATCAGTAATAATAATTATATTATGTAATTATAATAGTATAATTTAATATATTATTAACAATAATATAAAGTGAATAATAATCAATAATGATCAGTATAAAGTGAATAATAATCTGAAAAGTTACTCTGAGTATACGGTATATCCACACCAGGCAGGCTGAAAAGTTAGCCTGACCAAGGTGGGAATCAAACCCGCGACCTTTGGGATACTTAGTCCCAAAAAACCCATTATATTCACCTGAGTACATAACATCAAAACACACAGTCACAAAAAATATCATGATCATAGAATACATTAGTATCGAAGGTTCTAGACTTCGTTCCCAAATACCACTCACTCGAACAGACTTGGCCTTGTAGCTCAGTTGGCAGAGCATTGGACTAGTATCCGAAAGGTCGCAGGTTTGATTCCCACTGTGGTCAAGCTAACTTTTCAGCCTGCCCGGTGTGGATATATATACTCCTGAAGAGTAGGCGAGTAGTATAAAAAAGATTACCATATCTGATGTTTAATGCTATGGTAGTTTGGGGGCTCTTACTCTATATGCACACTAACAAGTGTGTTTAGTAAAACTGGGTAGTAGTAGTAGAACTTTAATTATACACGCTGACCCTGTCAACCGTAGCTGATTTCCACATGGAGCGCACATGCCAGAAAATAATGTTACATGTAGAATATGATAAATTTTTGTAGCACATAGCAAATGTATGAGGCCGTTTGGATGCTATATACTATGCATCATCACACATATTGGAGGGGGGGGGTGCAATGGTCAGCACAAGTGCCTTTCAAATCTGAGTCGTTGGTTTGATTCTTTGAAGAGCAGTCAATGGTCTGCCCAAAGTCCTGAATTTTATCCGGCACCCAGACTCTGGTTTCCTCCCACACTCACACGGGAAGTGAGCATAAACAGTAATAAATAAATGAAAAATTCATTATATAAATTCATTATATAAATTCAAAATATAAAGATCATCACATAAATTTTCAGTACCTCGACCTGTAACTGCATCAAAAAATGATCAGTCACACGGACCACAGCTGAGATTGCTGAATCCTCTTCCTCTGGTCTAAACCAAACAGTATCACCGCTTTCCAATCGGCGCATAATGCTTTGAGCTTTCGTTACCTATTGCAAAAAAATCAACAGATATCAGATATAAAATAAAGTAAATAATAATAAATATAAAATTTATAAAATCACTACAGAAAAGGCTAAAAATACTGAAATTTATCAATAAAAGATTGAATACCGTGTGGTTTTGGCATCGTTTTCGTTTCAACGGGCTGACGGCTGGTGTGGGGGGTCTAATTTCAGATTGGTTTTCAATCAAGCGATCGTAGCGAGTACCATAGCCATCAAACTTAACAAGTAAAGAGCCATCATCGTTTCTCTCTGCAACTTTCACACTTGCCCAGATTCCACACTCATCAACGGCTTCTACTGCACTTCCAATATCAAAATCCATGATTAAAATACAGTTATTATTTACGATTTTATAAATCAGTTTTAGGATATCAAATATCTTTCCATTTTGTTCAATTTATTCCGTGTCGTTTCCATGGCAATGTCATTGATTCTTTAATGCGTGTGCGCGGTCGAAATTACCGCCACACAATTCAATGCAGGCTCAATTACACACTCACACGGGGGGGGAAAATCGTAATGAAAAGGGTTTGAAATGTGTAGATGCTTGATATGTTTGAGCAAAGACCTTAACTTTCACATTATAAACATAAAAATTGGAAAGCGGGCCGTGCGTCTGTGCATTTGAGGGATACAGATGTGGTATTTTTACGTTAGCCAAAGCGTTGAGATCCCAATTATAGCCCTAAGGAACAAAAGTTTAAAAATCTCGAGAAATAACGTGAGATGAAAAATTCTGAATGTGATTTTGTAGTATGCTTGTTAAGTCTAATAAATAAGAAAAGTTAGAAGCAAGGTTGATTTTCGCAAAATAAATCAGTGGTCGGTTCTTACGGAGACGGCCTCTTAAATGCCTGTAGTGCAAGATTTTAGTTAAAATTCATTGAATTGCATGTACAAGAGCAGCAGTATTGGGACTCTTAGACTCTATTCACAAAATATTGACAACAGAACCATCTTATTAACTAAATTTAATGAGATCAATGTACAAGCAAATCTCACCACGAATCTCACAATATTTTCATGGGCTTTACATAGTATAAACCCTTAATAGCAGGCAATGTCAAGCTAAGTTATTGTGTAACATAGCAAGTTTTCATAACAAACTGAGTAAGATAAGTATGATTGTTCACATACTGTCCTAAATATGCTGTGAGATATAAATTTGTTTACAATGGAGTTAACATATTGTAATTACGTAAAAACGTTTTCTTGCACCAATATTGATATAAAATGTGAGATACATAATTTAAAGTGAATCTGTTTACTGGAGAGTGTTTTTAAGAGTATTGTGTTATATTATATGCATGTAATATGATGATGTAATATCCAAGTACTAAGTATATATCTGTGCTATAGAATGTACTTACTATAGCATAATGATATAGTTCTGATTGCTCAAGTCAAACTTGTGATGTCGTAACTCAAAATATATAGAAACTTGAGAATGAGATATGAAAAAATTACAAACATAAATTTTTTTAAAGAACTTTATTGGGTCATTAACAACTATATTTACAATAATTATATTAACCACTGATACATTATTGGGCAAAGATACACTATTTTAAAACAACAACAACAAAAGAACCCAATTGGGATAAGTGTGAATGGGACTCCAAGTCCCATGCAGGGCTATTCCATCTTTAAAATTCAAATAAATTGGTCATTCTTCATCACTCCAGCAGTACTTTTTAGAAAAACCATAAAAATGAGATGAGATAAATGAGATAAAAATTCCCTCCTAGGACGTCAATTGCCCCCTCTGGTTGGCCAATATCCTCCATGAATTTACTGAAATTTTCTTTATAGTGGGAGAAAAAGATTTTCGATTAAACCCTCTGACACCACCTTCCCAAGAAACAGCCTTTATCTCATCTAAATCACTAAAAATTTCAATGGGTTGTGTGTCAAACTTGGCAGCATATATGTACTCTGAACTAAGACCAATTTCCTGTAGTCTAGCTATCAGTGTTATTGAAGTTGGTATGCTGGTTTCTAGACTGGACAACAAGAGATTCGCATTAGGATGTCTCTGGTATGTCTTAAACAGTGTTTGAAATACTCTATATGTTAAATCTTATCCTCTTCACCAGCCAACCAAATTCAGTTACAATACTTTCATCTGAGTCTTGCAGGATTTCTAGAGAAACCCTAGCTTCTTTCTTTCTTTGACTTTGCAACTGGGGATGGTGGGGGTCGGTTATGCATTGGAACACCTTCAATTTCCGGTTAATATTTTCTCATATGCAACTTCATCAAATATGCCAACTTTAGCATGTTATTATGCAAACGAGAACAAACACATCATTTTAAGATTAATCTTTTTAAAAAAAGTAGATCTCAATCTTCATATTTTATAGTTATTTTGTTACGAAGCATCAAAGTTTGGGCATATTTGCAATTGCACCACCATTAATGCCTGAGGTTGAAATAGCACTACCTAAATGTTTAAAGCCTGAAGATTCTTCTGAACTCTGTTGTTCATCAATTTTGAAAAGCAAGATATGACTCATTTAATGCTTCAACTTCTTTAATTTTCATCCTGTTTCTACAAAATTTCCCATTAACATAGAACATGTCATTCTTACACATTGTATGTCTTTTGTTTTTCAAATTGCTACATTTTTGGTGGGAAAATGATATCACAAACTTGCCGCTAAAAAATTAACAGTTAACTATTGTTAATGTTATGCACTTATTCGGTAGACATCGAGAGAGTCTTAAAACGAAGTCTGTTTTGAAATACAACCATGCATTCCTTCCAATGATATCATGACTCAAATTTCTAAAAATCAACCATTTTCTTCTATTTTTAGTAACAAAATGGCCGATTTTTTTACATTTGTAGCGCTATATCTTCGTGCAAAATAGTCGTATTTAGAAACAGAGTTCAGTTTTATGGCTCTATCAATGTCGTCTACTGAATAAGTGCATAAAATGAACAATGACTAACTGTTAATTTTTTAGCTGCAAGTTTGTTGGCAATTCGAAAAACAAAAAACATACGATTTGTAACAATGACATGTTCTATGTTTATGGGAAATTTTGTAGAAACAAGATGAAAATTAAAGAAATTGAAGCGCTTTGGCATGCATTTTTGTCAGGAGTGTAATTTGTTTTGCTTAATGGTTGATGTAGTATCCTGACCTCTATCTAGTATTCATGCACCTCTTTATATACGTGTATTTACATAGCTAGTTAATAAAACTATTGCATTACTGCCACATATACAGTCAACATTACATTAGCGACAAGACGAAAAAACACACAAAATATTGGGGGAAATCGCACAGAAATAGAGCTAGCAAAATATAATTAGCGAAGATGGAGTAGCAAAGACTCTACAACATGCATGTAGAAAAAACCCCAGAGAAATAGACCAAGCAAAAGCAAACAAAACAAATCGGACTTTGGGACGAAATATGAAAGCAAGCAAGCAAAAGAGCGAAAAACAATATGTAAGCAATAGCAATGCGCAAAACTCTTAACATAGAGCCATTCAAGATTTCGAGCAGTCATTTAAAAGCATGTGAAGAATGAATTGAAGATTTTAAAGACGAAATAACATTTTGAGAAAAAATTAGTGTTCTCAAGATAAATGGCGGACAATAACTGAAAAATTTGACACACAATCTACCAAGACCCACCACCTATGGAAGCAGATGACGAGAACAAGAAACCCAAGAAAGACAAATGCTATGCAAGATATGCATTTAGCAAACAACAAAGAGTCGTATGACAGTATCATCACGTATTGGGATGTGATGGGCCAAAGCAAGAATGGAAGAAGTTTGGAAAGATGTGCGACTACTGGGGAAAAACGGACAGTCACAAACCTGGCCAGAATTGCCCAGTGTTCTGGAAACAATTTCTGAAGTGTGGCAAGTACAATAATAATAATTACAATATTTGGTCAGGGGGTCCACTCATGAAAGTGATTTTCAGCCCTGATAAAAAATATATAAAACTAACAAAAAAGTTAATACATGAAAGGTTATATCGTATAAAGTTCTTGCGCATCCTATCGGTTCTGTAGAGTGTCCTATGGTTATCTAGCTATGTTTCTTTAAAAGTTTTAATTTGATGTATATTCCGAATTTCCACAGGCAGACTATTCCATTGTTGGCAGCATGGCAGCTGAATGCCTGCTTCTCCCAGTTCTTCTTGATGTCCTGTTTGTTTCGAGTGTTCTGTTTGTTTCGAGTGTTGTAGCTGTGGATGTCAGAGGAGAACTTGAAATTAAATTTAAAATCGATGTCATTGTTTAAACACTTGTACATGATTAGACAACAGTGAAAGTGTCTATGTGTTGTTAACGGCTGCCAATTTAATGATTGAAATGTTCCGATTTTATCTTTTATTTTAACGTATACATTCTTAATACAAACATCATGGCCGCCATACTTTTCCTGCCTTCCTGTCTGAGCAGTCCTGGACACTACATCCCTCCAAAACTTTTATAAGTCAATCCTACACTGTTTATCTAACAAAACACTGACATAACTAACTGTAAACTAACTATAACAACGAACCATTTAGTTTATGGTATTTATAATTTAGTTCTGTTTTTTCCTACCGCTTTACTCATGACTTGTATTGATGTATCCTTGTTCTTATTCACCTATATCAGTAATCTCCCATCTCGTACTCTTCGTGCCATCTTGGGGCTCTTCTCTGTCGTGGACGTCGACCACGTTGCACTTGTCCGTTTCCATCCTCATATTCCTCTTGCTGTATATCCACATCTACATCATGTCTCCTTACCATGTCATCTTGTCGCTGTTCTGCCTCCTCTGCCTCATGATCACCAACCAAATTATCGACTGCTTCTTCTGCCTCACCGATCAAATTATCATCCTGTTCGTTTTCATGGATCTCTTCCTCTCCTCCCAACTGCTCTGGATGTATTATGTTGCTCTCGAATACATTACACTCATCACATGTTCCATTCATTTTAATACCACCTCTACCACATTCATTGCCAGGTACTTTGAGCAGTTTAAAGAATGACGAATTTCGAGTAATAACGTGTCTTGGAATAACTCTTGAGGCAGTAATCATTGTACCTTTTCTCGCTGTCACTGTATATGGTTTAGGATCATATACTGGCTGCAACTTTCCTTTTCGTTCATTACGCATCAGGACCAGATCACCAACTTTAAGGTTAGACAATTTAACATAAGACTTTCGATCTGCATACTGCTTGGCTTGCAATTTCTTTTCCGCATCTCTTTCACGTACCTCGTTATCGGTGTCATGTGAAGTTGACAGCTCGGGCAACCGTACTCGATACGGTCGTGTCTGGAACAGTAGCTCAGC